GTACCTCAACACACAGTTGATGTCAGTCAATAGAGCGGCACGTAAAAGGTATCGAAAAGAGAGCTGCAAGAATATCTTCTCTTCTTACTGCTACAAGAGTCTGTAAGAATGGTGTCCTAAATAATAATCAGTAACGGTTATTCGCTTCAACCCAAATCTTCCACAAGAACAGCTATGAACGTAAAGGGATATAGTGGGACTAAAGTTTCACCGCATTCAAACAATGCTCATTGCAAGCGCAGTTGGAAAACAATGTTGTCCTTGTAAACATTCCTCAGAATAATATCAAGAGAATAGTTCGTTTTAGGCTATATGACAGAGCTTGCATCACAACGAACTGCGTTGTTCTCCGAACGGAAAATTGGGAGACTGCCACCAAGTGGGAGTAGTTTATTAACTGGAGTGTACGGATTGCGATGCCACCTGCATCCGCGAAACCGGACGATCTTTTCATGTACGTGTAAATGAGCACTTGGCTAGTAAAGAAGACAGAGTTTTGTGAGCCCTTTGGGAAAGCACGGGGGGTAAGACCATAACGGCTGCGATTCTGATATGATACACACTTTCGTGTTGGAAAAAAAGATCCCTTCTCGGGAAGCGTTAAAAGTCTCTTGGATACTTGCGTGCATACCTAATAGCAAAGTAAGCATCTATCTATCGCAAAGGATTTACAGCCATTTCTATCGTTCTGCGATATTTGAGATTTCTATTATCTAAGCGCGTTCAAGTCATTGTAGCGCATAGTACAGACAATTGTAAGCAAGCAGAAGTGTGAAGTTAGCTCTTGTTAAGCAGGATGAAGCACTTGGTGAGTTGATGCCGATGGAAGTCAGCTTCGGCCATACTGGATGATTCGAACGTACGGGATGGAAGAGGTGTTTATTAGGATGAAACATGTGATAAAAGTGTATGAATCACTTTCACACCTCTGAAGAATGCGTTGTCTCGAACGTTGGCTTTGGAATGAAGTGTTTCACTAACAACCTGCAAGGGCACGCAAAAGAACAAGATAAACCAAATAATGCTAAGGTTTCAAGATAAGAGAACATATGGACATCTCTCTATCAATTTAGCAGCTTTCAATGACGTTCGTAATCATTCATCTTTGCAAAATCTTTTACTCAATAATATTAATCGTAACAATCTAGTCTTAAGACTCATTTTACTCAAAGCTTGCTTTTAAGAACTAAAAATTAGCAGAATGTTGCTCGCGAAAAGTGACCCTCAAATTACATTGAGAGTTTCTCAAAGCAATAATGTTGTTTGAATCTGTTGTTCAAAAGATAATCTACAAATCAAGCATCTGTCAATACGACGAAGTTTTTTGCTTGATGTTAAGGATTATATGTCAACGCGAAACAGAGGCTCTTCCGTAAGTTCATTGAAGATGTATGACACATCTATTGACAGTAAACCTAGTATTTCAAAAGTAAGAATTAAGAAGATTAAAAATATTGGCAAAATATTGCTCGCGAAAAGTGATCTTAATATTGCAATTGACATCTCTCAGCGCAACAAAGTTGTTTAATCTATTGTTTAAATGGTAATGTAAAAT